GATTAGTGCCTCTGTGCTGTCTTTCAGTCCAGCTTTGACCAGCCACTGGTATGATTTTTCGATATCAGCCACTTCTTTTATCTGACGGTGGTACATACCACGCAGAGGTTTGTACTTCCATGAGGGTTCCTGCTCTTCCTTCCCTTGTTCCTCTGGTTTCTGCTGCCTGAGGTATTCACTAACCACGTCACTCGGGGGCATCTCCCTGATGTATTCATGGATCTTTGTTGTTTCATCCTGGATAGTGGCTCTGACGCTCGCTAATCCTCGGCCTCCTTCCTTCCACTTAGTGTACAATCTCATGATGCTGGATTCGGGATGAAACCCTCCGTGCATTGTAAGGCGCTTCCTTTTCTTGATGTCATTGGCATCTATCTCCTCCTTTGGCCCGCTTATTATGCCAGCGGGGTACCTGATGGCTGGCAGGATGTAGGTTTTCTGCCCTAACATGCAGTGTTAACTGTGGGACCTTTTATACACAGGTGTGAGCTTTTCTAAACTATGCCCAGTTAGTTCAGCTTCACATTTCAAGGAAAATGCTAACAACAGTTTGGAGTCTGCATTGGAGCCCTTATCGATTGAGTGTAGGATAATGAGCAAAATTTGAATTTCTTCCATTACAATTAAATCTACAATGGTGCACTGTGAAACAATCAAAGGGATTTAAATATGCTTTGAATTCACTGTGCATTGTCATGGCAAGAGTGTGATACCGACTAAATTAATTCAGACAAACCATTACAATTTAAAGGATCATTTAATATTACAGTTATTCGGAATAGAGTAGTATTTAAACACATAATCTGGTAGTTAGGGAACAGAGAACAGAGATCAGAGAACAGAGACTCTCCTCTGGCAATGGAATAGATAAAGCCTAAGAAGATTGTTAAAGCACCAGTCAGTCAGGTCATTTGTTGTCAGTCCCGAGTCAGTCAGCGTCTTCCCCAGCCGGCTGGGTCCCCAAAAAGGTACATGGTTTACTGTTCACTGCTGCATGGTCTACTCTCTCTCTCTCTCTCAGGCTCACTATTTTATCAGCAGCTTCCCTTATGCTGTTGCGTCAATTTCGAAACCTAGCTTCCTGTCTCCAGTTTCGGGAGACAACACCCTGGGATGTACTTCGAAAACAGGAAACATCTTGACCACTTACATAAACCCATTGTCCAACTCACATGAACTTAATGAACCCATAACCACTCAGCTCAAATAAGTACAAATAATGTCTATATGTGAAGTACATACTGTTCTATTACATATTTCTTCTGGAATCTAATTTATTGCTAACCACCACAGCATATTCAACCTAAATGAACTTGCACACAACATAGATGTTCACCTATCACTGTTATAAGAAGACAGAACTCTTTCACCAAAATTGAAACTTTTCTGAACTAATAAAACCAGCCTTATTTTTTCATAGCCTTTCTTGGGATTGAATGTCTACAGTTCTTAGATTAATTTACACTGTAATCCTTTAATCATTTCAAGTTAAAACATGAAAATCTTCACAGCTGGGCATGAGAGGATGTTCACTCAACAAAGTCAATGTAAAATGCTATTACTAAAGCAGTTATCATAATGTGTATGTGCACACCCACGCAGAGATTACAGATATGGTGCATCAGGTCACACACACACTGTCAATCCCACACAACCTGTTTCCACACAGAGCCTGTCCAGATAAGGCTGTTATTGCAGGGTAAATACCAGTGTTTAGTTCTGTCATCACACTCTGACAAACACAACCAAACAGTTTGTCGGTTATATCAATACACACAGAGGAAAATAGCAAGAAGGAGTTTCCCTAGCCTGCTGCTGAATGGCACTGCTGGGGTCGCTTGGGATATGGAGCGGTATGAACCAGGCCAACAGGTCTGCACAAAGGATGAAAACCGCACTGTTTTCTTTGGGATTTGATGAAGCACTTCTGGTTTGATAGCAGCCTGTTGACCTGTACTGATTACATTCTCAGTTTGCACATGCCAAATCAGCCCTGACCGTGGGATCCTCTGCTCGTGTGCAATGTGTTTTATGGATCCAGTTACTTAACTTGTTATCAGTGAGCCACAGTTTAACACAATGTGTGGTGCTTTCTGCTACCTTGTAGGGTCCTTGCCACCGCGGTTCATGCCAGTGTAGTTTATGCACCTTGCGGTAGACCCAGCTGTCCACTGCCACTGAGGTCGGCTCCTCAGTTTGGTCTCTGTGCAGGATTTCAACCACCTGTTCAGAGAGACTCATCACGGCGCTGTTCAGCCGCCTGACATAGTCACTTATGTCTGCATGCTGTAAAAGAAGAGGTTGTTGAATCCCTGGGCATAACAATGAGAGGACAGGGCATTTTGCTCCCTGTCAGGATTTCATGTGGGCTCACATTTAGTGATTTAGTTGGAGTGGACCTGAGGTTGAACAATGCAATCGGTATGAATGGATGGTGAGACTTTGGAGAAGGCAGCGTGAAGATCCAAAAAGACGACAAAAGCTGTGTAACATCTTTGTGTAAATATCTCATGTTACAACGTGGACACCTGCGGCTTATAGACAAGTGCGGCCTATATATGTACAAAATTTTTTTTCTTCTTAAATTTAGTGGGTGCAGCTTATAGTCGCACCGGTCAATAGTCCGGATTTCAGGTATTTCATGAATTTCACTACAGTGTTATTCACTGGTTTACAACTGAGGTGCCACCACAGTAATTGCAGCTTGTCTACTTCTGCGTATGCGGATTTGTCTGTATGCATAATTCATGTGTGATCTTTGCATTCACCTTTAAAATATTTCACATGTTGCAACAACGTACTTGATAAAAACCTTAATTTGTGGGTGCCACCAGTTTTGTGAAATCAGACCATTCATTTTGGAGCTGGCGCAGTGTCCTCTACTGTGCGCCTCTTGACACAGCAGGCTAAGCAGCCCTGCTGGAGCCACTATGCGGCCCTC